ACGTCTTGTCGAATAATACTGGCATGCGGTAGCTGCCCAGGTTCCATATGTTGGTGAACAGAACTAGTTCTGTTTTACCCGGGTTTACCTTTAGTCCATAGTCCGAGCACCATATCTCTACCACTCTCAGTGCCCTTTGTGTCACATTGCAAACCGTGTCCGCAAACCCGGGATTATTATCACCAGGTCATCTGCATATCCTATTGTGAGGTAGTGCAGATTGTTCAGTCTTGTTATGAGGTCGTTCACAACTGTATTCCAAAAAAGTGGTGAGAGGGCACTACCCTACCCCCTTGAGGGCAACCTCTCGTAGCCAGTGCTCGCAGTTGATTCTCTCCTTGTGGTCTTATTAACCTGTTAGATAGCATGTTACTTATCCACTGGACGATGGTCTAATCAGCTCCGTGTCTAAGTAGGGCTGTCGTAATGCTGCTAAAACTGGTTTTGTCAAATGCTCCCTCTATGTCTATGAATGTGCCTAGGCAAAGCTCCTTACGTCCTAGGCTGTCCTCGATCATGCTTACTACGGCATGCAAAACCGATTCTGTCGATTTACCTGGACTGTAGGCATGTTGATTTGGGTGAAGCGTTGCCTTAGTCAGTTGATTGTCTCTTAGTTCTCTGTCGCAAAGCCTCTCTAATAATTTTAGTAAGAAAGAAGAGAGGCTAATTGGTCTGTATGATTTTGGCTCACTATAGTCGCTCTTACCTGGTTTAGGGATGAAAGTTACTCTGACATCCCTCCACAGTTTGGGTGTGTACCTGTAGGCCAGGCATGCTCTTAGTAGAGCTACCAGGATCCGTATTAGGTCATCTCCCGCCCACTGAAGAAGTGCCGGGAAAATTCCATCCGGCCCGTGGCCTTGAAAGGTTGGAAACTATTTAGTGCCCATTTTACCTTGTCCTGTGATACTGTCTTGTTAGCTATGTCCCAGCAGTGTAAGGTCGGTGTCCAAATGTTTCCCCCCCAGACAAGTGCTGGCTACATCACACAGCCCGGAAAGTGTGTCTCCAGGAGTAGCCTCTGAGCTTCTTCCGGTGTTGAGGTGTATGTCCCGTCAAGTCTGCACAGCTGGCCCAAGTCCTGTGAGTTGTCTTTGCATAGTAATTTCCTTACTTTGTTTGCCGTGGAACACGTGTCAATGCTGGTGCAGAATTTTCGCCATGACTCATCGCTCCAGTGCCGAATTATATAATATTCTTAGATAAATTGGCCATACCTATTTGTCTGGTTGTTATTTGAACTTTTGATAGACGTGTTGTTTTAATTAGGGACTGAAAAACTTATCCTACATAAAATGAAATACCATAGCTGCACTGTTCGATTCACAGTTTTCTTTTTGCTCTCGATGCATCTGTGACAGGGCTTCAACCAGTTATGGTCAAGTTGTCCATTCGCCGGGCCAGTATTTTCTCCAGCACATAATAGACACGTTTCACTCTACAAAAAGCGTTCTGCATTCAGTTGGTTTTCCATAATCCAAGTGACTTGGAATTATTTCTCTTAATGGGTGAAAAAAAGGAGAGGTAGTTAGTAATTAAAAGTTTGCTTTGGAGTTTTTAAAGTATTAATTTTTTTAATGCGCTTCTAACTATATGTGTCTGTGATCGGGTTGCTTCTGTAATTTGAGAATACTTTTTAAAAATTAATAAATGACTACTTCCCTTTGTTTTAGAAATAAAATTGAGCAACAACATTTTATATGAGCTATGGAACTCAATGGCGCAGTTTAAGCGCGTTCAATCTACGATTTACTAAATTTAGCAACTTTGGCAAAGATAAACTAAAAAAAAATAACTACAGTTTCTTCCTTTTTTGGTAAAGCTGTAAGCCATCCTAGCTGAATCTGCAGTTGTAGCTCTCATTAATTCGCAATGGACCTGTGTTGTGGTTTTTGATGATTTAACTTAACAACAATGTGTAATATCAGCAATGAAAAATTATTCTAAATAAATTATAATTAATAATACCAATATGAAGCGTCCTTGATTTGAAAACATTGCAAAATGCGCCTCACGGGCGAAAGAGACAGAGTCAGACATAAAGTAAGTCAGGGACATTGATACTCTATGTCGTATTAATGCCTCTACCTGAAAAGTAGTTTTTGTCTATTTACGCCCCAAACAGAATAAGAAGACAGAAGTAAACTTTCGTTAATTCTCACATGCGGAATCCTCATAAATTCGTAATGGTGTTTTGAAGACTGGTTTATGCATTGACTGTCTCTGCTCCAAATAGTTGGATTGGAATCCTCTTTGGTTTGGTGGGTACACTTTCGTTAATTCTCACATGCGGAGACCTCTTAAATCCGTAATGGTCTTTTGAGGACTGGTTGATTCTTTGTCTGTCTCTGCTCCCAATAGTTGGATTGGAATCCTCTTTGGTTTGTGGGATAACCGAAGGAAAGTTTGTTTATAGTACATCTATAGCTTTTGTCTTTAAAAACAATGTATACTTTCTACAGTATATTTAATATTTACGAGCTTTCACTCATTAATATAATAGTTTCCATTGCTTATTAATCTATTGCTCATTTTAGCGTATGTTGAGGTAAATTCTTCATTTCCTTTCGACTTTCATTTCCGGCATATACCTACATATAATACCTACTACCTTACGTATACATATATACTGTTATAATTATATTTATAGTATTCTCTTCAGATCGTGAACTGTACGTTAAATATTTTTATAGTAATGTAACAAACATTAATCTAGTCTTACTTGTTTGAAAATCATCGTTATAATATACAAAAGTCACACGTCAGTGTACCCTTCTCAAAAATTATAATTCCATTTAACCTTTATACCAAATACACATTCTCTGACTAGTCTAGAAATACACGCGTGGGTCATCCATTATCCGTGAAGCTCGTTTGGCAACTGCAGCGCTATTGACATTGATGCGCCTGCGCAAGCAATGTTTAGGTCGCGCTCCATTGGCAACTATGCATTTATCTACTGATCGCGCGTGTCTTCTAGGCTGATTTTTATGTGTATTTATTTGGTAGCTTTTATTCTTACAAGATCATGCCAGCCCCATCGTTACCTAACCTAAATTATCCCATTTTTGTAATATTGCGCAGTGGGAGCGACGAGTCATTGGTTTGAACGAGTCCGCTTTAAACATTGTAAAGACGAAAGAAATACGAGGGGCGTCCATTGAATGCCAATAGGAAACTGTTTGTTGTCGTTATTACTGTGTTAGTGGAACTAATGTCATTTTTAGCAATAAAAAACAATCAATATACTTAAATTAATAAATAAATATTTCCAACACTCACACCAATTAGCCTAGCCCCAAAGTAAGCACTGGAAGGCTTGTGTTATGGGATACTAGGGTAACGGATAAAATACATATACTGTAGATATATAAGTAGATTTAAATAGAAATACATATGAAACATCCATTGACTGGATTACAAATGCTCGTATTAATCACACAAACATCTGCCCCCACCGGGATTCGAACCCGGGACCTCTCGAGTCGGCGACACCATGAAACCCAGTGTACAAACCACTCGGCCACGGAGGACGTCAAATTAATTACATTAATTCGCCAAACTTTTTTGAATCAATTATATTGAAAAGAAAACCCGGAAAACAGCTGTAGATGCATATTTAAAATTATATTCCTTAGTTTATTTATTTAAAAAAAAAATAGTTTGAATCCCTTCAAAAAGTCCCGAAATTTTCTTTAGATTTAAACATCTAGCATTTAAATGCTTAAAAATGAAAATATAGCTAAATAAAATAGTATTAGCTTATTAAAAAGAATACATAGGATTGCAATCGAAATATGCGCATATTTGATGATTTAAAACGATAATCTATCGCTGGAAAATCCCTGGTGGACTCTATACCATTCAACTCTTGTGTAACTTATTCCACGTTCATCCTTTCATAGGTCCCATATTTGAAGCGCCGCTATTCAATGGGAAGTTATTGCGTCAGAAGCATAACAAAGGGAAGCTACTTTTACGGAGTACCCACCAATATGGCTCATCATGTAACTGTGTGAATAGATTACATGAAAACTCAACTACAAGTTGTAATAGTTAATGAAGCAGTATAGACCGTACTTTGTAGTGAATGGCAGGATATTTTCTTTGATTTATTTGAATTATCGTCCAATCGTCTTACTGTGATAGACCGCTAATTTTCGATTCTGTGTGTAATGTACCAATTAAAGTAATTACTCGTAGTTCTCCTAAATATATTCTTTTGGACACATCTATCGGCCCACCTAGCATTTTAAGTTTTAACCTTATAATGTAACTTTATTATTAGCTAGGGACAGCTAATAATAAAGTTATATTGAGCAAAAAGTTTTACGCAGTTTTGAAGCTGATTTCTTAACCATCTTTTTAGTGTTTAAAATATGTTACTATTGCTCAACCTATCATATAAAATTCAAAATTCAATTCAAAATTCAATATTGTTTATTCAGTCTAGGCTGTTAGAAGCACTTATGAATGTCGAAAAGCCATCTACGCCATCGGTTCGCAAATCTACGGCGGGAGACCTTGTACTGAGAAGAACCGGCAAGAAACTCAGCAAGGGCTGTTTTTTTCTCCCTGTATTATATACAGAGTCGTCAAATTGAAAAATGACTTCAATATGAGGTAACCAATAAAGTCACTTTCCATTACAAACAAAAAAAAATAATACAAATAATATAAAAATTATGACTATAAAATAAAAAAAAAATATATAAAAAACTTTTTTAACAAAGTTAAGGAATGACGCGTCCTACCGTTTAGGCAAAAAAAATAATAATAATGAACGGTTAAAGTTTAGTACAACGATTAATAGTACCCAGTGAATAAAGAGCAGACTCATCTCTTTATTGTTCGGTGAAGAAAACAAAGATTCGGATTTTATGGCGATTTTTAAAATAAAAGTTTATATTCGACTCTTCAGTTTTAAGTAGGTAGTTCATATACTCAACATTGTTTTAGATTTTATGATAATTTATTCACGACGTTTCTTCTTTCAGGTGCGCGTCCGCGAATTCTACATCGCGATGCAGCGTTGCCCCTACATCCACGAGATGAAGGAGCGACTGCTAGGCGCGCCCGTCGATGGTGTAGATCCCCGTGTCGTTGCCGACAAGTCGCGCGACGTGCGCGAGGTATTGTCGCACGACGTGCGCGACCATCGCGATCACGACAACCAGGTCGGCACCATCGTCAAAGTGAGGCTCGCCATTTCATCTTTTCACCTGCACCCGTTGATGAGAGACTGAGGGAAGAAAGTGTTTTTTTTTATTTTACAATTTTAGGATGGATAAGTATATAAAATTAGATTCAGGGATGTTCCAGATATTCTCAATGTAAAGTGAGATATTGGACGCATTTAATTTGAAAAACATAGCAAATTAAATGTTTTCATGATCTTTTATTCAGTCACTCACCAACTCAAATTATAAAAAAAACAAACGACACTTATGGTATTTTTCTTTTTACTTCGGAAAACTTTGAAAAAAAAAATGTAATAATCTGATTATTGTAATAAAAATGTAAGAATTTGGTGATTGTAGAGGTGGATTTTAAACAATACTTTTCGTTTTATTTCAAAGTTACGTGTTCTACGCTAATGCTTATATTTGTTAGTTCGATTTCAATCGGTTTCGATTATACCAAGATAAATATTAAAATCATTATTACCAATCCTAATCAAAACAAGATAGATGTGTTTCGAATTCGGATTGTATATAAAGTACAAACAAACAATTTTTCTTCAAGAATAACCATAGAAAGATCAGTGCACTTTCCATAAAACATCTGTAGCGCTTACCTAATAGTTTGTGTTAGATTAGTAATCCCTTTATTTACTATTAGATAACTGAAACCTTCCATTAGTGTTTTAGCCCTTTCAATCTTTCTATCTATGTCAAAACTACATTTATGTAAACGTTTTAATATTCACACCTTTTGCATGAATTTGATGTTGTGTTTCATTTAAAACTGCAGCACGATGACAAATTATCTTTATTACTCGATAATATAAATGAAACATCCATTATCAGTATTATATCAGGATACATTATATTAATTACATCGTAGAGAAATTTTACGAGATTTGTACGTTTTTAACAATATGATAATCGATATAACATTTCATCTGTTCTAGATGCCTTCATGCCATAATTTTTACTAACTGGTAGTTTGACTTAGATCTCTTATCAACATTAGGACTAATGAAAGTAAGTACCTAACCTACCTGTTAAAATGTTAGATTCATTTAGAGAGTAAAACGAATCAGTAGTTGTTTATCATTAGCCACAAATTGATGTATTTAGTTTATCTGTCATCGACTTTACAAGATGAAGGTTTGTTATGTGTAGATAAGAAATTTAATAATAATTATATGTACCTACCATTACATTATTTGAGAATATACATAAAAGATAGATGAATATGCTGGTAGTATTTATCTCGAGCTGCTCGTCTTAATAATATGGCAAACGAGACTAATGAGCGATGAAAGCGAACTCGATTGCATCTACGCTCAAGTATTCTAATTTCAGTATTTTCTGTGTATAAAAATAAACTTCAAACAAGTTCAGTTTTTAGTCCAAAAGCAGAGCATGTACTGTGAGTATAAAAAGTAAAAATGATACATAAAATACAGTCAATAAAGATAAGCATAACTCAGGCATTGTCGGACTAAAGGCTCTTTGCCTAGAATACGGAATCCTTGTCGTTGCAATAATCAGAAGTAGTAAAGCTCAGAATAATGACTGTAAAGACTTTACTAAGCCATCAATAAGCACCATAACGCACATCAAGTTATCCACGATTGTCAGTTTTTTCCAAGTCACTTTATGCTTTACTTTGTCTTATCTGATTAATAGCCTGCGCAGAGGAGGAATTATGTAAAATATTCTCAGATTACGTTGAGTATGAAGTTTAAGAACGGAGAAGACGTTATAAAAGAGATTCTTTAAATTGGACCGAACGCGCAATGCGGACTATAGTTCGCTGTGTGCGTGCTGCGCCATGTCTCGTCATTTTCATTTTTTTCCGGGGCAGCCGTGTACTTTTGTCCTGTCCAGTCTCTCCGTGTTCACAGACAAGGGGTTGTTTGGGGGACTTTTTGTATGACGGACAACTGTCCCTCGTCTGCGAAGGCCAAGCAGATGACACAATCTTATGTTTGTTTATGGTAACTTGATGTACGGTTGTCTGTGCATATGCTTCGAAGAGATTTCAGAAAATGGTTGTGTACTTACAATGGCGGTTTCCAGCTGAATTCCAACTGGTACATGTCGCATACCCTGCCAGCGCGCGCGCGAATGCTTTAATACGCCGGCCGACGAGACCGACGCCATGAGTCCTACAGACACGATACTCTGGACTCAAGCCTCTTTAACTGTAATAGCACATCCTTGTCGTTGCACTAATTAGTAGTAAAGACTTTACCAAATCATCATTGAGTACCATAACACACATCAAGTTATGCAAAACTGACAATTAAATTTAAGTCACTTTAGGGTGATAAAATTCACAATCTTTTGATTTTTTTTTTTATTTTATGGTAACTTTATGTATGGTGGTCTGTACTTATCTGTTATCTTTGAACCATTCAAAGAAACATTCAAATGTAGCAATTTATATCAGTCAATCTATTAGTTCATTTAGATTTCAAACGCCGTACTTACAATCGCGGTTTTCAGCTGAATTCCGACGGGTACGGGTCGCACACGTCGCCGGCGCGCGCGCCTCTCGTCGTCGACGAGTGCGATGCGCCGGCCGACGAGACCGACGCCCTGAGTCCTACAGACGCGATACTCCGGTATCGGACCTGTTGCCAGCCCAATACTACCCCAAAAAATGCCAAGTAAGTGTTTTTTCTTGCTTTTGTGATAAATATTCTGGATTCATACAGTCTCAAGTTATCTGTTTTCCCATTCCTATTTATTATATTTATACCTATTTTGTAAATAGGTCCGACTAATGACTCCACCTCACCTGATGATGAGTGACGGTGGAGTCCAGATGCAAAATTTACTGATTATGTTATTGTATAGTTATTTTCTTAGAGAACCTATTTGGCAAGAAACATATCGAGGCAGCTTTCTCGATAAACTTTTGTGAGAACCGATTCAATAATAATTGACAACATTCGTCATGGTTTTGGTTTGATTTTGTAGAGCAGCGCGCCCTGGGGAGTTAGAACCGTGACAATCATTGAACCATTGACTATATATTACAAACCTATTAAAAAAGCTCGCGTCTAAGTTATCAGTTTATTACTGGAGCTAAATGGTAAAATTGTAGTCTTCTAAATTATTCACGGCACATAAATAAACAACTTCTCCCACTAAACGCATTATCTTCTCTGATCGTATAAGATATTCAGTACTTTGCCTGAAATCAGTACAGTTGCTAGAACTCCACAGGATAGATAGGTAGAAGATGGAGTTAAGGTCAACCACCCAACCCGAAATCCCAGTAAAATTTTATTTACGCCTTTGTAGCAAGCACATGAATAAATATGCGGCGGGAGATCCGTCAATGAATTATTTATACGGCGAACTTACAATAAATCAAAGCCAAGGAAGGGAATAGAAACGAATATGTGGTGTCTAATTTATTACACCTCCTAATAGGGCAGGTTAATAATCTAGAAAGTAGGCCATGCTGAAAATATTAAACAAAATGTCCAAGATGTGTCATCATCATAAGCATATTAATATGCCTTCTGCTGGGAAACACACCTTCACAAAAGAAAGAATGGATCATAACGTAACCCACCTTTATACAGATTATGTATTTTACAAAGTAGTTTACAAAGCATGGGGAAGGAGGAAATATATTGATGGCCAATTGGCCAACCCATCCTTTGACGGGTCATTACGAAAGTCGATTAACTTGCACAATCGTAGGCAGAATGCGCTAACCACAATTCCAATGAGCTCATAAAATCTCTCTATTTGTCTCATGAAACAACATTTCGACCAGCGTATTCGTTACCTACTATCATAATAAGTTAAAGGGAGCAACTCTGTGTAAGCATCGTTCGTCCTACATTGTAAAAAAGAATCACAGGACCACAACAAGTCTATGAACAATGAATCGAAAGAGGGGAGGATGCTGTTATCAAAGCACCATATTATATGGATGGACAATCGATTAAATGGTTCCGTACACGGACATAGCTAAGTAAGGCTGCGGCAACGACCGCGTTCAAATGAGTTACGATCGTAATGCTCTGGATTTAAAGCGGAGAATTCAATAGAGAGAGTCCGGTGACATATTTGTGCGTTCAAGAAGCGTTCGTGCATTGTGATTGTGACAGGCTTCGTATGGATAAGCGGTCATTGGGGTAAACTAGATACAGTTAACTTGTAGATTTATTGATGCTTACACTTGAGGCACGTTGTTCAGTCTTATGAATATTATAGCTGTTCATCAATAGAATGTAGATGAGGCTTTCGTTTGAAAATGTGGAAGCGGATTGTTATAGAGCACTACCACACGTTCAGCAATTCTTTTAGCTGTTTTTTATACATACTCGTATATTCTATCTTCTATTCAGATTCTACCTCTTATTAGAAGGGGTGTAAGCAAAGAAAAGTCATAATCATCATGTCCCTACTGCTGAGGCACTAGAGATAACAAGTGTTTGGACATCCATCCAATAACTAGCCATTGAGAAAGTTCCTTAATTGCCACGATCGGAGACTGAATGCACTAACTACCTGCGCCATCGAACTCCTCGAAAAAGTATTGCAATAACGTGAAATTTACAAAATCTTTGCCATAACAGTATCAATACATTACCGTCATTGAGATCTCGATTTTCCGCTAAGATGTTCTGGCTTAGGTTTGAATAAATTAGTAGCAGTACAGCTTTTCCTGGAAAATATTTTATATGAGGTCTGATCCCTGAATGCTTTACTCCCTTTGATAGCTTTATACACTCATCAAAGGTTAGGGATAAAGTAATCTTTTTTGTAATAAAAAAAAAATAACCAATCCAACCTTATAAACCCAGTTTTCAAGATTGGCTTTTATTTATATTCTACTAGCGGTCGCCCGCTACTTTGTCCGCGTTGACTTTAGTTTTTTGAGAATCCATCAAGAACTCTATAGCTGTATGTCCGCTAAGTTTCATCAGAACCCCGTTGGTCCATTTTTGCAAACTGTAACAAACATATAAACACAAAAGAATAGCAACTTTCACATTTTTTAATATTAGTAGGATGTACTTACAGATAAACAATGAAACATTTTGTTATTTAGTTTATTTTTTTATAATGGTGTTTGAGCTCAAATGAAATGTAAGATTACCTGAGGTGCATTCTGTTAACTGTTAAGTATTTAAACTTCGAGGTTTATATAATTCACATAACTGTCATCGAATAACAATTTAGTGATATTCACCAAATACTACAATATATTATACTGCACAGGCGAATTTATGACTTTAGTAAAATATAATATCTAACAATAACTCATGAGATCGGAATAAAGTTCAATTTATTTATTGAGGCCAGACGCCATCAGTCCAGAGCTCGATCGATAAATCTAAGTATACCATGGTTTCCTAAAAACGTTTAAAGTGATCTAAGTATGCATTGTTTGCAAACAGAAGATAAAGTTACTTAGGTATTTTATCTATTCTTAAGACGCTTGGTATTGCGATGAAAAATCTGTTGCAGCAAATCCTTTTGTTAAATTAGCTTCCAATTAATTCTGGTTTTTGGTTATGTCGTGGTAAAAACTAAGTCCGTGAGAATGAAAAAGTTAAAAAATATTGGTAACAGTATTTAATATAATATATTTTTTTAAGCATTATTATACCATTACTTTATGTAATCTTATTACAGTAATTGAGATGCGTGATTGTGCACCACATTATATTTTGATAAATTATATTATTTTTCCAAGGCAAAAAAAAAATTAAATTCGTCGCAAAGTGCTTAAACTGAATTAGAATATTATAATCAGACACTGAATATATTGGTAGATCTGTATTTATTTCATCATCATCATCATCATCATCAGTCTCTTAATATCCCCACTGCTGGGTCACAGGCCTTCCCTATGGATGGAATAGGGAGATTGGGCCATGACCCACCACGCGGGCCCAGTGCGGATTGGCGGGTGCCAACGACTGCAGATGCAACCGAGACCAACGGCTTAACGTGCCTTCCGAAGCACGGAGGAACTCGAGATAGAAATTTTTGGTCACCCATCCAATGACCGACCACTGCGAAAGTTGCTTAACTATAACGATCGCAGCCGAACGCGCTAACCACCTGCGCTATCGAGCTCCTCAAAAAAAAATCAGTTATTGAAAGGTAGAGCGAGCGTATCCAGAAGGAGGATAAAAGAGAGGATTTAGGAGAGGTAGAGCAGCTGTATTTATTTATGTATATTTAATTGTGTGTATTTATATATGTATGTATAATGTATATTTATTTATGTATGTAAGGGTAGGTATAAGTATTAAATGCTATTTTATTTCGTATTTACCGTTGTTTGTTTACTCTGTTCGTTGTCTGATGTTTTATTAGCTTAGCACCTCCTTTTTGGTTGACTGGTAGAGAATGCCATATTGGCATTAAGTCCGCCAATTGCATTGTGAAGGCAATAAGATTAAATAAATAAATAAAAATAACAAGAATACCTATAAAAACCTTATTATATACTACTACGTAGAAACATATTTGATATCCTAGGAAACTGCTGTGTATTGCATTTGCAATTAGTGATTCGAAACATGAAGGTTTGCATAGGTGACATCAATGAATATATTTTTAGTTATGACAAGATTATAAATATTCTAAGAGATCTTGCAATCAATTATTTAACTATGTAGATACTTAATTGCATTTATTTAAAAGATAAATAGCGAAAGAAAGATATCGTAAAGATAAATAAATATTTTTTTCCAACAATCACATCAATTAGCCTAGCCCCAAAGTAAGCACTGTAAGGCTTGTGTTATGTGATACTAGGGTAACGGATAGAATACATACACAGTACATATATTCGTATATTTATATAGAAATACATATTAAACATCCATGACTAGAATACTAATGCTCGTATTCATCACAGAAACATCTCTGTCCCCACCGGGATTCGAACCCGGGACCTCTCGAGTCAGCGAACACCATGAAACCCGGCGTACAAACCACTCGGCCACGGTGGTCGTTAAATAACAAGATTACCTATTAAAACCTTATTTAATTACTAACTAGAAACATATTTGATATCCTAGGAAGCTATGGGAAGGTTTGCACAGGTGACATCAATGAATATATTTTTAGCTCTGCCAAGATTATAAATATTCTAAGAGATCTCGCAATCAATTATTTAAGTTAGGAGATAATTAATTGCATTTATTTAAAAGATAAATAGCAAATAAACAGCACAAACAAAAATACCGTAAAGATACAATGATCTATAAATATTATAAAATGGTAGGCAAGTCATTGTCAACTGTAAAATGAATATTTTTTTAAAAGAATCATCATCATCATCATCAACAGCCCATCATAGTCCACTGCTGGACATAGGCCTCTCCAAATGCACGCCACTCAGATCGATCTTGGGCTTTAAAAGAATACTTGGGGTGTAATCTACAATCGACACCGAAGCCAAAAATATAGTTTTTAGAATTTTTGTCTGTTTATCTGTATGTATGTCCGGGATAAACTCAAAACGTACTGCATGGATTTACTTTAAATTGGGCACGAATGTTATTAAGAGCCCTTATACAAATTTGCGCCGCTGCCGTACTGCTAGGCGCGTAGGTAGATTTGCATTTGTATATATTGCATTTTACGGGTGATGTTTCGAGTCTTATAAAATAATTATTAATGA